ATGCTACCAATATAACGGTGCTGTCGGCATAAGCCTGCCTGGCCCAAGTTTCGTTGTACGTAGAACAAGTAAAGAAGATGACAGCGGTGCGAATTGTCTCCGCCATTCCAGAGAATAACATCGCTATGGCAATGCTTCTATTGTCATTCCCGACAGCTAGGGACTTGAGGTTATCTACCAACCAGAGGTTAGCGTTTGATAACAATAAGGGGGAGATGAGACCGAAGACATGGAGTTCAATGGCCACAACCACCACACAAGTATGACTTCCGATTAATGGGGTAGCTGCTGTGGCATCAACGGTGCTAGAGGATGGCACCACACCAATGCGATCTTCAAGGTTACTCCTACCTAGGCCGAGGCTCACTTCAAGGCCAGGGAGAAAGTTAGGAATGAGACACATAAAAAGTAGGTGGAATGGCAATTCCCACCATATTACAAGTATAGGCCTCCGTTTAGGAAATACTGGTATTTTATGACCCTCCATAAGTTTATGGCCTCCAGACTTTATCAGATGCGGGCGAATAAAAGTTACCTCGCGGCTTAGACAGACTGGTCTAATCAGAGTCGGGTGTTACGAATATGGCTTAGTGAGGAAAAGGTTTTTACGTGACACATGGTTACGAGTCACAGGTATGTTATTGTTTTACACATATGATTCATTTGAGCCATATGATTTGTTATGTGTGGGATTTGTGATGCTTTTACACATGGCTCAAATATGAGTCATAGGAGTGCACCTGGCGAGTATGCCTTGTGAGTGTGCCTTGCGGGTAGGCCTTGCGTATATGATTTATGTTTTGCACATGACCTCATTATGAGGTCATGGGTTTTACGCATATGACTCAGTCAAGTCATATGACTTGTTTATTGTATTATGATTGGTTATGAGTTTTGCACATGACCTCGTTATGAGGTCATGGGTTTTGAACATGCGACCATTTTGGTCACAAGATTAGTGTTAGGCGGAGACAACCCGATAGACTTCAGAGTTGTCTAGGCCGACCGAGATTCGTTTTTATAGACGGAGATTGTCTAGGAAGGCTCAGACTTCACTCGTTTCGTTTATGACTACTAAGAGCGAAGTAAAGTAGGGTAAAGTAAAGTAAGGTAAAATTGTAAGAACAATATGATATTGTTAAGGTCTCTTCTCCGTTGCTTGATAATGTCTAAAGCTTGGGAGGCACTTCGATATTTATATTCCGCGTCTGAGTGTTCGCGGACTACATCTAACTAACATACAACCATGTACCTTTTTCCAATATAACTTGCAATGTCGGCGTGTATCTTCCAGATGGTAGCGAACACCTGGAGACCCTGAAAATCATCACACCCTCTTTGATAATTATAATATGACTATTTGGAAGTCATGCTATTTCCAATAGTAATTATCCGATGGTGAGAGTCTTTTTAGACAAATGGCCCAATTCTCAAGTCGAACTGTGTTGGCTCCAATCGTCTCCCTTGTCGATGAAATGATCAGTTTCGTCTGCGGGTTGCATCCAACCGATAGATCTTTTCCGGAGGACTTCCTACTTATCTGCAGGAAGCCTTTCTATAGGGTTGGTAGATAATCCCTCGGTCGGTAACCCTTGGTTGCCGTGGGTAACAGGATTCTGGTTACTGTCACCGGTTTGGGAGTCACCCCTTCGGTTGCAGTATGTACTGGAACCTAGTTGTAACACTCCTCGAACTCCATTGGGTTCGATGGTAGTATTCTCACGAGTTCCAGACTCTTCTGGTTATCGTAGGGTGGATGTGAATGTATTGGTCTTTCATTAAGATCCTTTACTATTCATCATCATCTCTTTGCGCGAAAACGTCCTGTTACTTGCGGCCTATGCCAAAGATATCTCATTCTTGAAGCCTAGTAACTTTCTGGGTAGTTGACGGATTCACTCCGTTATACTTCCCAGACCTAGCCGAAGGTCCCCTCCTATATAACCTGCGAACAGGATCCGGTTGGACGGACGGCGGTGACGTATACGGTGTTATTTTAACACCTTCGATTCTGTGGTATAATACTCACAGGATGCAACTTAGATCGATATGTATGATGATACGCGGGCCCCGTAAGGGGGCCGGAGGGGGGTGTTGGAGACCTGAGATTTCGATTTCGGGAAAGGTTACCCTACCTAAGGTGGTTCCTAGGTATCGGATCTCGGTATTCCTAACAATTAGTTTGTTATGATTTGGTTTCGCACATGTGACCACTTTAGGTCACATGACTACGGGCAGGAAGAACACTATATAAGGAGGCCAATACGGCCGAGAAGGATAGGTTCTTCATGCTTTGTTCTAAGTACTTTTCCTACTTATTACTTTAACGAATATAAAACACCTTTATGATTTTTATATTTATTGTAACGTTATAGTTACGCCAAGGAAAGTTCTTCGCAAAGAAGAGTTAGAGAAAGCTTATGATAGGCGTTCCCGATAGAAGACAAAGGTCTTGTACTATCGGTAACGTATGCAGAGGCCTAGTGCTATTGTAAGACTAAGGAAAGAAACAAAAGAAGAGAAGTATCGTTCCCCATCGCCAAGAACTAACTATCTGAGGAGGGATCGTTACACCAAGACACAACCTGTAGAGGTGCCTCGAATTCCCAGAGACTTTTGACCATGTTGTGCAATGCTCGGCTCTCGCTGAGTCGAGAAGAAACATCCCCCCCCAAGTTTTTGACGTGGGTCCGGAGTCGGAGCTGTGGAAGGGGGTAAGGCGGGCAGGAAGCTGATGGGAGATTTTCTCTCTTATGTGATGGAGAATAGGATTAACTTTCCAGTAAAGATGGGGGTTTTTCCATTTACGAGGAGTGCTGATTTGGCATCATGATGATATGTAATGATTTTCATTTGTGACGGGACTTGTTTAGTGATTTTTTATCGTTTATTTGTTTGTTTTGGGGGTGAATGAAGTTTCTTTTGTTATGTTAAGGAGGTTTTCAGGCCATACCTTAGGGTGCTTGCCATGGATTTTTCCCGTAGTTAGCTACAAATAAACCGCGGATTTAACAAAAAAAAAAAAACTAGTACAGTAACATGTCCGACCACCGCAACCTCCGCCTCCGCCTCCCCACGGCCGCAAAGTAAAAAGGCAAAAGAGGTTGCACTACTATAGTCATTCTACTGTACTACCGGTACTAGGCTGGACGGGACTAGAACCGGTTTTGGCCATGGTGAAAATCTTTTCAATCACAGAAAAGCAATTCGGAAACACGAGAAAAACGCATCTTACTTAGTAGCAGACGCATGGATAAACAGGATAAGTTGGCTCCCCTCCTCCTATCCCCATTCTTCTTCTCCTCCTCCTCCTCCAACATGCGGTGCTGTAGGATACTGTAGCCGCGCTGTAACGAGAGTCCCTATTGGTCGGTCTGGCGGTTCAATGGCTTTCTTTTTTTTTTTTTTTGCTCGAGTAGGGTAGGGAAGAGTTGGGGAAAGAAAAGGATGAAGTGTGGTGTGTGGAAATGTGTGGTGGTGGAAGCACTTTTCTTTCTTTCTTCCTTTTCCTTTCCTTTCAACCATGCGCTCCCCACCGGCCGGATATCTCTAGCGAGGGATGTTTTATCCGTCCCATCTTGACAGCTTTCTCGGCTTTCCCACCACCGCCCTCCCATCTTCCGGATCCGCGCGGTAATCAAAGTGAGGGAGTTTTTTTCAGGCCGATATGATATCTCCAACTTCGTGTATACTTTTTTTCTTTCTTTCCCTTCACAATCGGAGAATTAGTTGCGGAAGCTCCGTTGGATGGCCACGGGGTTCACTTACTGCACGCTTTAGGCAGTGATCGGCCAATTCAGTGCTGTGAGATTCCCGCCTTGAATGTTTCTCTTTTGTTTTGCTATTTCTGGAAATCCCTAGATTGTTTTGTCCCCAACTTTTGACATGTTTGGGTGAATGCGTGCGTAATGTATTCACGCACGATAGCTAATCCAAGGCGGGGACTAGATTTTTTTTCGGGGATATATATATATATGTATATGTATAAATAAGTATAAATTATCATGTCGGAGAGCGGCCCCGTGGGACGGAGTCCGGGTTGGCAAGGGGGATATTGCTTTTGTCCTGCCCGCTCCCCGATATGCAATGAAGGTTGCATAGCGTAGTAAGAATGAAAAGAGGAGATGCTCTGGACTTCCTGCGGAGGTCAAGAAGAGAAAAGAAAAAGGAAAGTGCGAGACTTCGATTTCAGCCGCCACATTTCCGATCTCCGGCCTTAATAGACCATGGTATTTCATTTTTTTTTTCCCTTTCGTTTCCTCATCTCTTCCAATGGTAAGGCTCTCAATGATAAGGAACGTGTGTGGTCAGGTTAATCTTCGATGGTGCCACTAACTTTTTTATGTCGGGACGGTTCTGATGCTCCTCCCACGATGGGTTGCTGTGTGGTATAGTATCGATATAGCCCAGTGAGCGAGCTGGAGGGGGGCGGGGGGGGGTGGTAGACGTCCGGGTATGCGGTCAAACAATTTCGAAAGAAAAAAAAAAAAAAAGGGAAAAAAGAAAGTGTTTCCAACCGGCCCAAGGGATATCGCTGCGGACTGTGCTCGAGTAGATACCGGGAAGGTGCTGGGTGCTGACACCACAAACCGGAGCCCTAACTCAACCACCCCTCTTGGCAGTATGATATCTACGATATTAACATGTCGAGAATATCCAGGACGGCCCATGCTGAACACGGGGGTTTTGGAAGTGAAAGTTGCCAACTGATATGAGTGTTGCATTTCTTCCACTCGCGAGTTGTGAATGCATGATTCGCTGTAAAGTGGGTTTACGGGTCTAGGACTCGCGGCATTCAAGGATCTTCGTCGATCGTCCGTCCCTTCCCTACCGGTATTACTCACTGGACAGCACATTATCTATCCCTTAATCTGTGCAAATTTCTGGCGCAGTCAGTGACCTTGGCTTACCGAGGGTCGTATATCTAGGGAGCTCTTGCTGTGACTTGACATGTGTAGAAGGCATCTACACACCTAGGGAAACTAAAAGGCGACAAATACGGGCGGCGGCGGGGGGATAGGTTCGGTCCATGGATCCGTGGTAGTCTATCATGTCAATGTCCTCGAGTATGTAGCCTATTCTACTGGGCCGCCAAGACGTTCTCTCTCCATCTTGCTGTCATCTCCAAATCTTCAGCTCAATGGCTTCTCGATTTTTTGTTTTGAACTGTGCCTGACTGCCACGTTCGACCTTTCGTTACGATATTACTTTCCGATCGTTAATTGGAAGATTCCAACAGCCTTTGAACTAAATATAACAAACATCCGGTCGAACATCCGGTCCCCTCGTCGATCACTGTTGAGGCTAGAACTTCCTCAACATCTTTGATTAACCAGTGCAGATACCGGTAGGGGCGGAATACTCGAGTAGAGGCCACCGGTGCGACCTTGAGGTGGACTCTACTGACCTCTCTCCCGCTCCCACATACCTAATCACCCCTTCCCCTCTCCTTTTTTGGGGGCCATGTTGGACGTGTAAGGCTGCCGATATTTGGGGGGTCTACCAGGGTATGTGCTGATTGAGTGCCGTGGTAACCAAGTTACCGTATTGTTGCTGGATTTTTCGCCATCATGCATAACTGCAGAAGGTTAGGGGTCTCGCAATCAATCGTGTATCCTATTGCGAGCGTTTGCTCCTCCGACAGTTGTTTCCTTGGTGTTTCCACTTGCGCGGGCTGCCCCCTCTTCTGGCCTCGGGATTCGCGCATGCATAAATTTTCAATCGGCCTTCTTCAGCTTAGGCCAATCCTTTCAGTAAAGCGGGAGCCGTGTTTATTTGGTGACCGTTTGATCATTCTGTATCGAAGTTGTGTCGTCGATTTTTGTATGAGTAACTGTGTGTGTGCGTGTGTGTGTGAGCAAATGGCGACACTCGCGCTCCTCTGATCTGTCAATCGGGAAAGTTGTAAACACACCTAGCTATTGAAGTTTCCCTAATACGTAAAACTTGGGTCAATAACCCAATTGTTTAGATTGAAGGTTGTGAGATCGTTTTCTTACGTTTTGTGTTGAGGGGGGGGGACAAAAATGGCATCCGGGACAACTTCCAGTCACGTTTTCGGAGCGACCTCGGTCGGTAGGAAATTTCATCAATGATCTTGAGGAAGCGGCTGTTGCAATGTTGGATAAACTTCGGAGGACCTGCATTCTCTGGCCCATGGTATCGATATATGAAACGGTGTATAAACGGTGCCAGCTGCACATTATCTCGGTGGTATACTCCTCCTAGGGGACAAGTACGGGTACCTCTCGCAACATTTTCTCTGAGATAATCAACCGCAGATCCATTTTGGGTATCAGGAGTTTCTATAGGTGGATGCATGCTATAATAGCCTTGTGTCTGTCCGGTTAGTGGCTGGATCCTCGGGGTTATCATAGGCGAATACCATTCCATGGAGATCCCTATCATTGTATATCTTTTCCATGCGCATCCCCTCCCAATTCCCTCGAAGCAGCATTCGTAACATGCCATTGACAACTCGGAAAGTGGGCTTTCTGTGCGACCAATCAAACCTTGAACCAACTTCAAGGAATGGTAAAATAGGGCGGTGCTGCATTGTACTCGGACTGTATCAATGGCGTTGTTGGCTGAGTGATTGCATCATGGTGTCTGACTGATCTGGACGGGGACGCGAGCCATAACCACTGCTCGTACCACCGGCATTCCCTACAGACGCAGCATGCAAGGCGTGATACCAATCGTGACGATGTGGAGATGTGTCGCATGCCGGTATTATCTTTGTCCTTGTTTGGTAGCCTGGTGTCGGCTTGGTTGTTCTTCTCTTGGTTACTGGGTTGGCTGTGCTCCGACCATCAGAAACACTGGTCCAATTGGAATTACTGCTAATCAGTAGTCTACCCTGGTGTCCTAACTTGTGAACTTATTCACGGCGAGCGTGGTAGGTAGTGGCCTTATTGATCTGCTATGGGTAATAATTTATTAGCGAAGGCGCACCTTGGTTATGATTGACCCACTTACCATTGGCGCCCATGGATTTAATACGAGTTAACAGCTTTCTAACTGATCCGGAGACCGGGTTATTAACAATTCGCTTCTTCGAAGCCCACGCTAGGATCTCGATGTGCCCTGTGGCTCTTATTTAAAACCGACCCGACCATGACTAATACGCTGCCGTTTTGAAATCAGCAGTCACGAGCATATCGAGTGATCACTGGAATTTTTGGCGGCAAACCGGGCATTGATATCTTTCGTCAGAGTCGCCACGAGCACATAAGAAGGGTCTGCAACTAGCCCTCGGGGTTTGGCCTCGAGGCCTGAAATCTCTTCCGCACCGTCCTAATACGGGGGAAAGCTCCGGTGGTCGTGAGGAGCTGAGGAATGAGGGGGAAGGAGAAGGAGAGGGAAGAAGGGGGAAGGAGGCGAACGAGGATCTTTATGCAGGAGAATGTAGAATAGAACTGGAGCTCCTTTCACGCCCGGGTTTATGCAGTCGATTTGCTGCCCTCTCTCCGCGCCGTGGGACCGTTGGGCGAACGAGCTTGTAACCATGCGCTCCTACTCATGTTTCCCCTTCCCCACATTTGCCCGTTGTTAGAACCTCTGCTGGTGCGATTGGAAATTCGTCACCAAGTACTGAGCACTCAAGCCATGGTGGTGTCAGCGTGTTCGGGATCCGGCATTGTGGGATGTTGTATCAAAATCGAGCCCGGTTGTGGGGGTTCGGTGGGTTTTGGGTGTTATTGATATAGTAATAAGAGCAGAGGCATTTATGGGGTAATGTGGAGTTGAGGAGGGTCTCGCATGTGTTTTCATATGTGGGGTACAGTACTGCATATTGTGGCTACTATCATATATAGTGAGCTACTATATTTGGATGTGGATCCTCAACTTGCTGTAGGGACATCTCTGGATAACCCTCGGCATTGGCACGGAACAGTCTATACTTCATGTGACATATTGGGAGCTAGAGTGGGAGCTTGAAGCTACCATGAGTGGGTAGGGTAGTCTTATCAAACCGACTACATATTACTGTGGAAAGTGGGATTTCCATACGGGTCACTGCAGAGGGTACTACTTAGCTAACCACGTATCGGTATCACGTTACCACATGTTCTCCCTCGCCATATGGACTACGATTCGGAACAGCTAGCATCATGTATGCGAGGTCTCTTGCGCCGAAAAGGGCGATTTTGTGCCCACAATGTCGGGAAAAAGCTGGCCATAAATGCGGGTATCACAAGCTTGCCGTGAATTCACGTATCTGGTACAACCCTTGAGCTGAAATCGATCTGCTCATAGGCAGTGGAGATCACTGGGGTACAGAATTACACAGCATTATAAAGCATTAGAACTAATGCAGTACCAGTACTCCTACTCGAGTAACTCACAGGTGGTGTAGTTTTTCCGACGCACGCTGTCACGCTGCGATATGGGAAAGGGTCCGGGAGCAATGCTTTCCCTCTGTTCCGCATTGGGAACCCCCTTCTTTCTCAGGCAGGCTCATGTTTTTTTTGTTTTTTTTTCTTCTGGCAGATTTTGATTTCTGATATATGATGTATCACGAGTTCTTAAGGAATATCACATAAAAAATGGCGGAATTATAACTGTCGAGTGTTCCGCTTGCCTTATGAACAGCCCTGTCCACCAATGGGACACCGTAGTACCGTACCGTACTGTACAGTACTGTACACCCCCGAGTGGATATTTCGGGCCAACAATATAACTATCGCCCCGAATGCGTACAAACCCTCTTATGCCTAAAGCGCCGCCGCCTCAGGCACGGTAGAGGATGAAGCACAAATTCTCTGCAGCACCGAGTATCACGTTCAGTCCCACAGTAATAAGGATAGGCGAAACTCTTCCCCGCGATACCTGAGCCAAAGAATCTTACACATCGTGAGCACATATCTCCCCAAAGAGTACCTCACCTTTCAAGCCATGAGGAAAAAGCAGGGGCCTACATTTGCGGATTTAAGGATGAACCATTGAAGTCGTGTCTAAAGAGCTCACCGCCGTACCCGCATTGATAGCTGCAGCGAGAAGCTCCGGAAAAAGTCGTAATTGGGGGAAACAATCACCCCAGAGAACTCTAGTAAGCTATTTGCGTTTACGGTGTCTTGATACCGCCCCAGCAAGCCTCTCCACCAAAAATTTTCGCACTCCAAAACGGACTGAAAAATACGAGTGCAATGTTGGCTATCGTACAACAAGTTTATTGTATTATAGCTTGCCCTAACATGTAATATGTGCCCTGTGAAAAGTTTTCCACAATTCCGGCGGGATGATTGGGCAAAGAACTATTATAACAGCGCATTATTACGCCTCAAGGTCGGGAGCCTATCAGACACCCGCCCTATCATTTTTTACCTCAGATAAAAATGCATCCCAGGAGCAGCAGCCTAGAGCCCGGCAGGAAGAGAGTGTTTTATCCAACCCGTTTCTTGGCGATCATCTTCAATGATGTGTCTTCCACCATCCACAGATACCCCACGCTTTTCAGGCCCGGTTCCGTAGATCTTTGTCTGAGATGATTGTTGGCGGAGGTGAAGTTTCCGGCAGAACTCCACAAGGGAAAGTGCACATGCCCGCGAATGGGACGGACATGTTATATCACAAAAGCATAATGGGCGGTCGGAGGGCCTGCTTTACCATATTTTGAACGTGGAGCCTTGTCTCGCTCCGGCGCAGGTTAGCACCGACTTGAGATAAACCTAAAAAATCAATAGCGGGTACCGGTGCGGTGGAAATTGTGTCGGTGATCGAGTAATAATCGATGCGAGTGCCATGTCGTTGGAGTTGCCTCCTCTGGTAAGGACCGACGTTTTCTTTGTTGTTTTTGCTGTGCTTTTCGTCCCTCTTCCAAAGTAGGGATTTCCCGAGCGCATGGCAGATACAAGTACCAGTTTCTACGGTACTGTGCTCGAGTGCTCGAGTACTGCACAAGTTGAAGAGGAAAAATCAAGGATACTGGGGGCTTTTTATTAGTCAGTGAAAATTCCCCACATATGGTCATTTCTGATAGGTGGTTATGCCTGTGAATTCAAGAAGGGGAAGGAAATTCTGCGCACTCTCTTGCTACTCTTCTTTATGCTAGAAAGAGTTAATTTATAATATGCATCTCCTTGATTGAAGCTGCTAAGAGCATGACAATCGCTTCGTAAAGACATAGTCTAGGCCATTTTGCAAGTGAGCTATGCGAACGGTCGGATGCTGTAACACTTTACGTCATCAACATTTTTGTGGCATCGTTGCAATGGGAAAAAGGGCAGGAAAAGCGTGGGTTCGTTCAAAAGCAGTGCAGTTGCGAATAAGACGGACTGATCTTTTTTCCCCCCTCTGGCGAGTTCTTAAGCTGCTTTATTTTTTTCTTCTTGAAATATACGGCCAAGTACCGGTACTCGATTACTTATCATGAGGGCGCGTCTGATTGTCACCCCGAACCTCCCTATTTTGGACTCCTGGTTATAAATTTGCAGGTTTGTGGCGAGGCGAGGCTTACTGGTATTCTGCTTTTGAGCACCAACGGAATATATAAGCATTCCATTCGAGTGCATCTGCCGGATTTGCATGATAGGCAAAGAAATCGTTATCCACACTCCAAGTGCTGTAATGTACGAGTACTGTGCTTGTACTGTACACACGCCCAAGTTCTTTCAACCCGGAAAACTTGCATAGCATAAACCTTCTCCAACCTGGGTCTGAATACCTCTAATAGCCGGGTCGCAGTGCCGTAATAAGGCCAAACAGTACTTGTAATGAGAAGTGCTATGTAACAAGCAACAACAACCTCTCCCGACACCACCCACAAATCCATCAACGACACTTCTCTCACCAACCCGTTCGTGCCAGCTCAGACTTGTCGTAGGGGCCTATGTTAGCCTCCAATTCGATAAGGAGCCGTGCCCGCAAAGTCCATTCAGTGGGAACGCCTATATCAAAGAACTACTCGCTTTTTGAACGAGTTGCTGTACTAGTAGTACTTGCACTGGTATGAGACCGGTATTGTACTGTACTCCAACACCAAAATTGCAATTCTTGGCATTTTATTCCGGGCAATCGGATAGGCCGCTGCGAGTCTCAGGTTCCCGTACTGTACTCGAGCACAATACGGTACTATTGACCCAACCCGTCAACTTGCAACTTGCTATTGTGGTTTTCCCGTTGGAACTCACGCATTGCCGTTAGGATTTGAAGAGAGAGAAAAAAACCTCCGTCGTGACAGGGCGTGCCCTGGTGTCTCTCCCCTGATTCTTGAAGCTGTCACAGAGGGGTCCCGTCAATGCCAATTCGGGCACTAGAGCGGTTGGATTTCGAGGCAGAATACTATTGACACTTTCGTGTGCGGTACTGTACTCCCGAGCCCTATTAATCCACATTATTCGGGCACTTCACTAATCGCGGCAGTTGGAGGAGACTTGGCTCGAGGATGCAAAGTCCCGTGAGGCTATCTGCCGGCGCTATCATATCGCGCCGTAAAATTATCTCGCGGTATCGTGTCACTGGTGCGAACATGTGTGAAGGCCTCAAGCGCATACAGAGTTGCACATACAGTACAAAGAAGGGAGGAGGGGATATCAAAGCTCCATAGACGGCTCAATAGGAGATTAGGATCCTAAAGAGCTAACCTTTCACATATGATATTACCCCTATTATGGTATGATGGCAGAAATACCAACATGTTGCGCGGGTGCACAGGGTTTGCATCTGCGATGGTATGTCCTCCTCACAAGGTGGTCCGTCCATTCACACGAGGTGGAACATATCATCATATACTATACCATCCAAATACGCATCGAACCCACACCCATAACCACATCACCGCACAGGGGAGAAGGAAATAAAGTTCATCCATCCGCACAAGGAAACCTTTCGCAAAACTTACATCTTGACCCACACACACCTTTCTCCCTTCACCCCCTCCCCCTCTCCCACTTCTTCACGGAAACCGAAAACAACCCCGAGTGATACCCCATGACACACCTCCGATGCTAGCTTGGGCGCGCCACAAACCTGAAAGGAACCCTGACCGGAGGAACCCTGACCGGACAGGCTTTTACCTGCATACCCCCATAAGTATATGGCGTCACCTCTGCATACGAGCAAAGTAAAAATAAAACGTCCCGGGGATCATAGCACACGGTAGCGGCAGTAACAGCATATCGGACAGGAGCGGGATCACTGGACGATGGGAGGATTGGCTGTTTCCGGGGCATCGCGGGGTGGAGTATGGGTTTGTATCACATGATTGACGTTCCGGGGTTTGGGGGTGATGGTGGTGGTGATGGTATGATGGAAGGGGTGCATTCTTGATTGTTGGTCAGCTGGAATGGCCGGGTCACACTTTTTCACTTGTTTTTTTTTTGTACCTTGTTTGATCGCGGTAACTGAGGTGGGTGGGAGATGAATTAATATGGATACTGATAGGAATGTACAATGTAGTTGGTAAGAACAAGGATATAGGTGAAGAGAGGGAAATAGAGGAAATGAAGAGGGAGGGGGAAGAGGGGAATGACCGAGGGATTGGGTTCTCGGTTTCGATCTAGTATACAATCTGTTGGTACTGTACAAAGCCTTTTTTCTCTGCCGCCTTTACTGATGGCACGCGTGCTTGTAGAGAGAGGTTTAATAGCTGTGAAGTGAATGAAACGTGACGTTAAGAACTTGTATACGAATGCGAAGAAGAAAAGTCTCCTCCTTTCTCTATTTTTCTCTCTCACACCCACTCTCTCTAGGACCCCCTGGCCCTGAAGAAGTCATCTTCTTCATATTCATCGTCATCGCCGTCGCCATCGCCATCATCATCACCATCGTCCAACCCCCCTCCCCCCGTAACCTCCACTTCAACAACTTCCATCTGTGCACCCGTGATAGGATGCTTGCTCTTGAGCGCCGCCCTCCGCTCTTTCAGCCTCAAAACTCTCTGTTCCAGACTCTCCATCTCCTCAAACTCGTCGAGTAGTTTCTGCTTGGCATCCTCCTCCTCGCCCTTGCCGTAGTCATCCTCATCATCTATCCCTTGCTCCTGCTCTCCCCCAGCGCTATTCAGTGTCGGCGCAGCCGTAATAACTGTCGCCACGGGAGGTACACCGGTAGTTGCCGCGGGCGGCGACTCCGCCGCAACCTCGGCCTGAAACGCAGCCCACTCGTCCTCGTCTACGTCTTCCAGACTATTCTTTTGGAAAAAGTCTTGCGGTAGTGAAGTTGCTGCTTCGGACATAGGATCGTCATCCGCAGTGGCAGCGGTGGTGGTGGTGGGTTTCGAGACTCGGGAGTCTAGTATCTCGACCCGTTCGTTGCTGCTACTACTACTACTGACGGGGCCACCAGAGAAGAAGTCTGCGGGTAGGTTTGCTGTTGTCGGGGCGGACATTTTGGTGCGTTTTGAGGATAAGCCGGAGTTCTCTGTGAGTGGTCTTTTCCCGGACGGGCGGGAGGGAGGAGGAGGAGGAGCGGTAGGGTTTTTTTTATTGTTGGCTTCGCGTTGACGGCGTTCAGCTTGTAGGAGTTTGCGGACGTCGGCCATGGTTGCGATGGTGGAAATGTAAAAATTTTATTATTTTTATTTATTTAAGGAGTAAAACAATGCGAGTGAGTAGTGGTTAATAAAGTACCGCAATGGGATGGGAGGGGGAAGGTTGAGGATAGATAGCGGGGATGGTGATGTAGCTTGGAATGCTGAGTGTAATATGGAGCGGGGTTTGCGGTAGGCTGTAAAGGAGAGGAAATGGAAGCGGTGAGATGTGTGAGTTACAAGCGTGGTGAGTTGTGTGTGGTGTTTCGGCGATGATGGTGAGCTGCGGCTTCTCTTTACCCTCTCAGCAAATCAATGCGAGGGGCTGACTTCTGATTTGTTCGGTAGCAAGAGTCCCTTTAGGGAAATTACGCGAAGATCCCTAAGCCACATACTGTACCACACAGGTTCTCAAATAAACGCGGTAAGGGTGTAAGGGTGGTCATGGACCACAGGCGTTGGCGGTGGTCAATTGTTCCGTCGCTTCCTTTTTGGTCCTAGGAGAGAGAAAGAAGAAGAGACAGAAGGGGAAGAGAGGGGATGAAGCCAGGAACCCTCGCTGCTTTCATCATCCATCATCAAGTGAATAGTTTTGTTCTCATCGCCACCAACCACCATCAGGACAGTTCTCCTTTCCCTCTCCCCCTACACTATCCTTCTCCTTCCACTCAGTCTAACAAACTTCTTACTCCATCAAACATTTTGGTACCGGTATCCCATCTGCCACATCCGCCCCCACTCATTCTTGCCATCAGCAACAGAGAGGGCATCCCCCCGCTTCGAAGTAAAAAAAAACCAAAAAAAAACAGAAGAACAACACGGGTGGAGGGATTCTCCTCCCATCTCGGAGTAATCAAGAGGGAGAGATAAGAAGAAGCAGAAACGAGAAAGAGGAGAGAAGGCTAGGAGATTGGGAAGACAGGAGAAAAGGAGTTGGAGGACTTCCAATCTCTCATGTATCTTTGGTTGTGAACACGACAAAGCAGTTGATTCGTGAAGAGCGGAGAAGGATCAGGAGAAGAGGAAGAACCAGAGGCAAAGGAGGTCACGAGACCATCCGACGAAGTTTATTCAGCATAGAAGGAGGGGTCAAGCCTTGTTTACAACCATCCGTCCATTCCTTTCTCCCTTCCGTGCTGCTTCTTATCTCATCGAAATCGTGTATTCTGCTATCTTATTTTTTTCTTATTTTTTTTATACCTCTTTTTCCTTTCCTTCTTCTGTTTTCCTGGAGGAGAAAGTTGGCAGTTTGGGTGGATTTGAAAGGAAAGTTCTCTCGGAGACTGCCCGTTTATTTGTCTGTTTTTTTTGCCTGCCTACCCTGCCCCACTACAGTAGTCTACGCTTTCGTGTAAAAATTTCGGCTGTTGGGGCTAGCCATCGCCAACCCCAATCCATCCTTTCAACCAACGACCACCGACTGCTCCCACCGTCACTACCAACCCCCCAACCCCCCCCACTAGATACATCATCACATCCTCAGTCGCCGTTAGATACGCGACAAAGGGGTGAATTTTACGAACAAGCCTTTATTCTCTAAACACACACGAGATCTAATTCAATTCATGGCTGGTATGCCCGATGCAACCCACCCAATTTAGGAACTCGGTGCTTTTTCTTTTCTTTTCCGTGTCGCTAACTTGGTTTTATTTGCAGAGCCGCGTCGCAGTGTCCGATCCACGAAGGGCGTGAACAATCGCCTCTCAGATATCGGTACAGATGTCGCGTCGCCTACACCTAATACTCCCGTCGCTCAGAAGTCGCGAAAGAAGTCCACTGCGAAGGGTCGCGTCACGCCTCCTCCCCCTCCTCCGCGGTCCGAGTCGCCTAAGGATGATGAGGCTGAGGTGAAGGGCGGGGCGGACGATATAATTCGCTGTGCGTGCGGCGCGACGGAGGAAGATGAAGATGATGACCGGATGATGATTCAATGCGAGGGCTGCGAGGCATGGCAGCATACCGCTTGTATGGGAATTGCCAAAAAGCACATCCCGAAGGTTTACTTTTGTGAAGTTTGTAGTCCGGAACTTCATCAGCCTTTGTTGGCGCAGATGGCGAAGGGGGAGAAGCCTTGGGAGAAGCGCCCGGGTGGGAGACGGGCTAAGGGGGCTAAGGGAGCGAAGGGGGGTAAGGGGGCTAAGAAAGGTACTACGCCTGCGAAAAATCAGAAGAGTGAAGTTACGCCTGCTAGAGGTTCGAAGAAGAAGGAACCAACTCCGGTTCCTGTTCCACCGAAGGAGCCTACTCCGGTGGCCGAGCCCAAGCCTACTCCGGCAAAGAAGGCCGCTCCGAAGCGAAAGAAGGCAGAAGTGAGGAAGGAACCGGAGCCTGTCGCAGAACCTGTGGCAGTGGTGGATGAGGACAAGATGGATGTTGATGTTCCTGTTGCGCCGGAAGCTCCAGCGGAGCAGACCCCTGCTCCGGCCGAACCTTCCGAAGAGATAGACCGCGAACGTACGGTGTCCATGGAATTGTCTCCCGCAAAGGAAGCCGAAATCCTGGGCGCGAAAAAGCCCACAGCAGTTGTTGAGATACCGGCGGATCCTAAGACCGTTGGGTTTGCCAAATCTCCTGTGATGTCTCGAATTGATGATTCTCGTCCCAAGTCTCCCTTAGCTAAATCCAAGGATCATCGGCTGAAGGTAGAACCTCGGAGAGACTCTGTTGTATCCAACAAGCGAAAAGCGACGGACGAATCCGACGGCGAATACAAGGCGGATGATGATAAAGCACCCTCTCAAGGGCCGCAACCCCAAATCGTGTCGGCTGACAGGCAGAAGCAGCAGCCCGAGAAAAAGACTCGCCGTGTGTCTTTAGCAACTGCGGCCTCTGTTGATACCACACCTGCGAAAGCGACACCAGAACGTAAGCGCTCATCTATACCAAAGCCACCCCCAAAGAAGGTTAAACAGGAGGATAATACGCCTCAGAAGGAATTGGTAGAGTCTGTTGATGAGCTCCGAAATGAGAGTCGTCGTAAAGTTGTTGCACATATGATTTCTTCCTTGCTCGAAATTGCGACTAAGCTAGTCAATGAGCATGATCTTCATCTTGGAAAGGACCAGACCGCTGAGCAGCTATGTGACAAGTTATGTCTGGAGGTAGAACATCATGTTTATTTGATTTTCTTCAAGGATGGTACCCTATCAAAGGAATACTCTAGGAGAATTATTTCAATCACGCATAATCTTCGCGCCAACGGCTTGCTGAGCACGGAGCTGTTGAGGGGGGGTGTTCAGCCGGCGCAGTTAGCAGCAATGACCTCGGAGCAGATGGCCTCCAAAGAACTTAAAGAATTCCAGCAGCAGGTGAGATTACAGTCGGAGAAGCATCACACTCTAATCACAGAGACTGGGCCACGGATTCGGAGAACGCATAAAGGTGAAGAGGTCGTAGGTGAACTAAAGGAGGGGATGTCTAATGGACAGGACACATTACTATCCGGCCCAGTATTACCTCTGCTAGAGCGCGACGACAAACCTGCGACTTCCTCGAAATCGCCCACGGAAGACCCCAAGGACACCAGTGCTACGCCTGATCAAGGGGATGCTGGACAGAGCGCGCAACCAGCTCTTATTGATACAAAGAGTGCTGAGAAGAATCAATTTAACATCGAGAATGTCTGGAACCATGTGGAATCACCTGATACCGATAAGGTTACAAGACAATTTGGGTTGGGCATAGCTCCTCCTTCGACATGCGTTACTGGTGATAGCAAAATCGATAAAGATATCGACATGCTCCTGAAGGAAGATGACGGTACTGGGACACCACCATACTCACCCGCCATGTCAGAGTCAGATCATTATTCGCCAGCTCAGATGGAGGAGGAATCCGTGTGGAGAGGGCGAGTGGAAATGAATGGCATAGCTAGTCTTTCCTCTACGGCTCGTCTAATCGGGGGCCTCGAGTACATCGGGTCGTCAAAATGGTACGAGCTTCTGTCGGATGTTCTGCAAGTTGACGGTCGTATAAAACACGATCGGGCAACGGAATACCTATGCGGTCAAAAGTTTTCCAAATCCAGTTCATTGATCATGGCATCATTGACCCCAACGGACTCGAACGCGGACCGGGAGTTCAACATGTTATTTGACTACTTCAAGGAGCGAGATCGCTACGCCGTTGTGGGAAAGCACGCGCTCAAGTGCATTAAGGATCTTTACATTGTGCCTATCGACACGAATGATAATCTCCCAGACTGGTTTAACGTGCTCGACCCACCGCCTACGGTTCCGGAGAGTGGCAGGGACAACAGACTCCTAGTCATAATATTTGTTGTTATCCGCAGCCAAGTTGGCCTCTCGGCCGCCGCTCCCACGCCGACTGCGTCTGAATCGCCGTACCCACAACAGCAACAGCAGCCGCAACACTCTCGTCTTGCGGAGCAGCCATATGCATCCCCGATCACGCACACCCCGAAAGCGCAGTATCATCAGCAATTGTCATACTCTCCGCAGACACCGCAACCCCAACAGCAGCAGCAACAGCAACCCCCGATATATAACTACCCCACAGCCCCCGGCGCCTCCCCTCCCCAACAGCAACAGCAACAGCCAGGATACAATACATACTCATACTCTACCCACAACGGTAACTCTGCATCCCCACCACCCGCATCCGCACCTGCATCCGAACCCGCACCAGCACCGGCGCAAGAAACCGAACTCTTGCAAATGGCCCGCGACCTCCAAACCATGATTCCGGACCTCCCGCTCGACCAGCTCCTCGTGATCAATAACATGCTCAGGGAGAATCCGGAGATGCAGACAAATGATCAGGAAATTGTCAAGTTGGTTGAAGCTCATCTTGGTGGTGGCGGGGTGTACTAGTTTAGTTTGGTGTTTCTCCCTTTTTTCTTTATTTTTCCCGCTCCACCAGTCTTTATCAGCGATATTTTCATTTGTTTTCCTGCCTGCTTGTTCCCGGGATTTGTATTTCCTCTTGAATCTCTTTCGTTTCCAACTGCTGGGCTTCGCTGGTCACTTTTCTATTTGTGGGTCGGGGGCGTTTAAAACTGCTTTTGTCTTATTTGCTGCACGCTATGCTGGATGGATGGGTGGAGATGGAGGGGGAGGATGACAGTGGCTGGCAGTAGTAGTAGTGGCGGATGGGAGAGAATATCACGAGAAGTGTTGTGGAGAAAGTACCGTGTCAATCTGGGTCAGTTTGTCAGTCAATCGGCCTTTGTAACACCTATTACATTTTACTTTTCTTTTTACTTTTTTTATACTTTCCTTCTTCACCTGAACCCAACTCCAATAAGTAAATCTATTTCTTTTAAGTTATCGTAGCTATTCTCCTTCTCTCTCCTTTTTTATTGTCTCGGTTTAGTTTTTCAATTCATCCGTCTATTTGTTACATTCTCTCCTTATCACTGACAGAAGAGAATGCATGAGTGAGTGGAGGAAAGAATTCCTGATACCATTGCTTTTTGAATATTGAGCTACCTACCATTCCATGCTCGCTCTCTCTAGCTGTTATTATCGTTAACTCCCTTTTTTTTTTTCTTCCCTTCTCTCACCAGGGTTTATTAACTAGTTTTGATTGCTTGCTTACTTGGTTCGCTCGTTTACATGCGTTATCTGTTGGCCATCGTGGCCGCTGGTATCTTGTTCCTGTATTTTCTTCTATTACGGCTATGTCCTGTTCGTGATTGGAGGAGTGGAGAAGGGAGGGAAGTGTAGCAGTATAATAGGAAGGTTAAGTTAAGCTTTTGCTGAGAGGAAATGAATGAGACTATCATAAAAGTTAAGAGTTAGGAAAGTTAGCTCTGGGACCGCCAGCTGGCCGTCCGGCGCGAGAAGATATCATAGATCGTGGTCTGTTGCGGGGTTTTGGTAGAGGGCTAGGATAACTCATCCGTGGGGATTTAATAATTGTATGAAGGATTTAGGCGTGTTTTATTTTGCTTTTTACTCGCATGGAGTGTTGATGGCAATTAGGTTTGCTGGTATCATATACCTGCGCTTAAACAGTGAATTCCTACCGTACTGCCCGGCTCAAAAACTAACTTTTTATATTATACAGTTTTCCTGGCTTAGTAATATAGTAAGTTACGCAACGAAAAAGTTAGCATTTGGCATAAGACTGTACTCTACTCGTATGTGAGATTCACTTTTTGTCTGTCCAAAAACACCTTACCGTTCTCGATCAATACCGCTGCATAAAACAATAATTTGAGCTCGTAGAATTGAAGAGGGCCAGATCCAAGCGGTTCTGTACAGAGCCTTTCTCTCAAAACTTTGCTGTTGCCCCTTTCATTGTTGGACTTGGTTGTGATGAGAGTGGGTTTCACATGCCGGTATCATGCGGTGGAGATTGTTCTTTTTTTTGGGGAGAGACCTGATAAGCTTGGTATTTATTCCTTGGGGAGATATCGTGGGCTTGAGTCGGAATCGCTAAGTTTATGGTGTTGGCAGTGGGGTATACATTGCTGTGCTGCACCAAATGTTCCAACAACGGGATAATAGATTTGATAATCTCGCTGTGGGGCGTGGGTGTTGCCGTGCCGTGGCTGGGCGACTTGAGGTCACACTACCGTATCGTAGATCCAATGACTCATCAGAAATCACTCGACGGAGACCAGGGTTCGAAGGGTCAGTTTACTACCGTACATACTGTAGCGGAGGATGCGATATGGTGCGGCGCGGTGGCTTTCCGTGCACTCATCGGACGCCGTTAGCCGGGCCAGTGTAAAAAAAAATAGCACTTTACATCTCAATGGGCATGTGCGAGATAAAGGGGGGGTTACACTTGGTGTTGCAGCGGGAGAGGATATAAAACCAACTTAGAGTTTTAAACAAGTTACACAATCAACCCACGGGATGGCGGATGGGGACATGGTGGATCAAACGGGTCTCTCCCTGAGTTATCATGGCTTCCGCCTGTACGCGATGATCCAAACATGCTATGGGAGCCTCACCTTTGCATCTTTTGTGCGACAATCTTATGATGCGGTTGTTTACAGTGCTGGGACAAAAAACTCCAGCGGACCGCGGTTTTGCACCGAACCATGAGCCCTCTCTGCAAAGAATCCGGGGCTCCCACTGTGGGCCAGATCAAACTGGGAGACAGGTGGAGAGCGACTTTCGATAGAGGCAGTTGGGTGGAAGATTTGTTGGATCGAGGGACTACCGACAACCTACAAGGGAGGTGGCTGCCGTCTTGGATATCTTTTGTACAGCACTGTATCATACGTCAAGTCACTTTCGGATCTTACCACATCGTGACATAAAACATCACGGGTTATCAATTCACGGGCTTTATCCTTCCGTTATAAGGGAACGGTTGTTTTCACGATTATTGCGGCTTCTTGAAATCCCTTACACTGGCAGGGTGGAGCTGTGATTCTCGGCGGGTGGCTGGTTATGGTGTAAGATATCGTAGGGCCTTTTGTTACCCTACCGTGACATACGGTAATATAAGCGCGATCCGAACCTAGGAGATGTCCAACCTAAGCATCGAGCGGAATGCTCGGGGGAAGAAAATTGTGCTTGGAAAAAGGAATCTAAAGGAGGATGGGATATCCCGTGCAACCTACCTGCAAGTCGATATTGCACAGCACTGGGCTATTTGATAGTTCTCGGCAAGTTGGGGTAGGATACCGGTGCTCGTGGAATGGCAGTTAATTTCCCGGTCCAAAGACTCCTTATCGTACTATAAGAGCTTGAATAATTGGCACTCGAGCTAGCGCGTTGGAGTTGCTCCGGCTCGTAGGGTCCGACACTTTTTTGCTCGTTTAGGGGGGCTAAGAGGGTCAGTTTTCGGAGTGTTATCGACCCCCTATCCAAGAGAGGGGATCTCGGACGCCCCAGCGCGAGCATAAATTGTTTGGGTTCTTACGGTATTGGTTCTCTTGATGGGCGATGCTAAAAAGTGTGGACAACCGTCCGGCCACACCTACAAACTCGCAACTGGGGATAATGGCACATGGACGCGATATTCACTAAGCTGTGTTCATAGTAGAAATCAGTCACAACCATACCGGTGCCCCCGTTAACAGCTGGTTTATGCGTCACTCCGAGCGAGTGACAGAAATAATTGCTCCTTCGTATTGTTCTCTCTATCCAAACAATCTTTAGGTCTAACTCTATCTTAGAGGAGAGGAAGGGGGGAAAGGGAATGGTGGACAACACAGACGGACAATAAAATGGGCAAAGAGGATTTACGAACGGAAAGCAATAGAACGGGTGAGTATGACGGAAATTTCAAGCTAGACAGACTTATCCCGGCACAATAGAAATAGCCCCTGCGAATGCCAAATTCTATATTCTGAACAGAAATTGACAATACTGACTCGACCACATAATAAAGTTGGGATAAAGATTTGGACGAGTATGTAATAGATATGTGCGTTATCGTCGCAAATGATTTCCACCGACCAGGAGGAAATTCTTAAGCATGTTTTCCATGACACGCTTCGGAAGGGAAGGAAAAAGGGCGATTGGGATAAGGCGGGGTTGCAAATCAGGGGGGAAGGCCGGGTGGGGGTGAGGTGAAGGGGGTAATCGCGGCGACGGACGTGTTTATGGAGTTGTTGCTCCAGTTGCTGCTCCTGAGTGGTTTTTTGCCCAGTTGGTCTGGTTTGTCGGGGTTGACGTCGGGTCGCCCGAGTAGCATTTTCACCACTCCCTCGTGCCCACTCCGAGCAGCATAATAGAGTGGTTTTTCGCCGTTATTATCTGGTTTTTCCGGCCTGATATCGTCCCGTCCGAGTAGTATTTTCACAATTCCCTCGTGCCCACTATAAGCAGCTAGCAAGAGGGGAGTTTCACCATGCTTATTTGCTGAGTTGGGGTTGACGTCGCGCCATCCGAGCAGTATTTTCACTATTCCTTCGCGCCCACTCCAAGCAGCACGACAGAGGGGCGTTCGGCCGTCGTCATCTGGTTTTTCCGGGCTGACATCGTCCCGTTCGAGCAGTATTTTCACCACTCCCTCATGCCCATTCCAAGCGGCATGATAGAGCGGCGTTCGGCCGTCATTATCTGGTCTGTCCGGGTCAACGTCCTCCCGTCCGAGAAGTATTTTCACCACTTCCACGTGCCCATTCCGGGCAGCCCACACGAGAGGTGTATTGCCCACACAGTCCTTTCCGTTGACATCACAACCTTCCACCTCAACCAAACTAGAAACAATCTCTGCGATCCCGAATATGGATGTGCAGTGTAGACCACTAAATGGGGAATAACTATGGAAATCAACATCCCATATGTACGATGAATGTGCTTTCAGGAGGGTTTTAATGGATATGTGGTTATTGTAGTCACCAAATAACTCCAGCACAAGCAATTTCACGCAATCTGAAAGGTCCCTTTTTGCGTGGACTCCCCAATATAGAGAAGAATATTCGAGGAAAGGTGTGCATTGGAGATCGGGAGACAAACTGGTCGAAAGAGCCTTGATCTGCTGGGAATTCAGATAACTTAACCAGGTTTCTGCCATTATCGCGTGAGCTGTACCAAAAAGTTCTGGATGAGCCCGGAGGTACTCTTGAAGGGTAAAGTGGATTAACCGGACAGTGGAAGCCTCCTTGTCTATGGCAACAAGTCCTTGGCAACAGGCTAGCAATGTCCCAATTGAAGGAACATTGTCGCTATCGAGATGTGGTGACCCTATTTCGACCCCCAGGGCGTGACACAGTTCGTTGACCTTCAAGGGCCGCTCCGAGTGAGAGATCCACATCAATGCCGCCATGCCGAGCTTGGCTTTCTCCCCGCCCTGCCCCTTTATCCGATTCAGTGTTGCGCCATAAGCATCCCCCAGCCCCAAGCCATCGGTCATTGCGTTGAGTCTTTTTCGCCTGCGATGGATTGTGGTTTCCTGCAAGATCGCATCGATATTCAGCGATACTAGCAGGAATCTGGATATCTATCTGTCAGTGGATGACTTAAGCAGCTTTCCCAGTGTCGTCGCATCTACCTACATATCAGAAATATCATCAGGAATTTTCTTCAGGATATCTGCCTCCAGGCTACTATCCATCGCATCCTGGGTTGTGTCCTCGTGCAGCCTAGTTTGAAGATATCTAACAACATCACCTCTCTTGGGACTGATGGACACACTCATTAATCCTCCCACAAGGCATCTTCCAATCTCAGGTCGAACATGTGGTCTCCCAGTCACAAATATTCGAGTGCCTGGAGACTTCTGGATAATTTGATTCAGCGAATCGAGAAGCTTGACTCGATATCCCGGCGCACATTCATCTAGGGCGTCGATGCATATGAATGTGCGCTTTTTGGAAGCGGTACTCTGCATCATCTTCACAATATCCGAAAGTTGTGGTCCCCGCCCACCAATGGAACTTTTTTGGGCTTGGTATGCTTGCGATATATCCTCTGGGGTCACCTCTAGTCCGCAAACCAATTGTTTTAGTAGGGCGCCCAGCATGCCCGTAAGTGACTGCTCCTTTTGAGCGGCGAAGTCGAAATAAAAACATGCAACGGTGGCATTTTGTGCTTCAGCATGATCGCATAGCCTATCTATCACCAATGAGCTAACACCGCAGCTTGTCAGCGTTTCCCCTCCTCATTTATTCCCGAGGGTCGTCATTGTTACCTGATATATGTCTTGCCCACGCCCGGATCTCCGTAGCAAAACAAAACTGCGTTATC